ATTTTTTTCTGAAATATCCCAGACATCATTGCATTTTATCCTAAATGACTTCAGTGTGAATTTCTAACAAATAAGGAAGCATTTAAAAATAGGGGCTGCCTCAATTGGTAGATCGTGTGACTCTTGATCTCAGGGTTATGGGTTCAAGATCCATGTTGGGTGAAGAGACTACTTAAAAACAAAATCTTAAGTTTTTTTTTTTTAAGGATTTTATTTATTCATGAGAGACACAGAGGGAGAGAGAGGCAGAGACAGAAGCAGGCTTCATGCAGGGAGCCCGATGTGGGACTTGATCCCAGGACTCCAGGATCACGCCCTGGCCAAAGACAAATGCTCAACTGCTGAGGCACCCAGGCATCCTTTTTTTTTTTTTTTTCCCAATAGGGTGCCTGAATGGCTCAGTCTGTTAAGTGTTCAACTTCAACTCAGGTCATGATCTCAGGGTCCTGGATGGAGCCCCCTGCATCAGGCTCCCTGTTCAGCAGGGAGTCTGCCTCTCTCTCTCTCTCTCTCTCTCTCTCTCTCTCTCTCCCTCCACCCCTCCCCTAACTTATGTGCACTCTCTTGATCTCTGTGTCAAATAAATAAATAATACCTTGTAAAAGTATTTAAAAAATAAAAACAATTAGGGATCCCTGGGTGGTGCAGCGGTTTGGCGCCTGTCTTTGGCCCGGGGCGCGATCCTGGAGACCCTGGATCAAATCCCACATCGGGCTCCCGGTGCATGGAGCCTGCTTCTCCCTCTGCCTGTGTCTCTGCCTCTCTCTCTCTCTCTCTCTCTGTGACTATCATAAGTAAATTAAAATAAAATAAAATAAAAATAAAAACAATTAACCACCATGCCAATACAATTAGTAATATTTCCTTTCATCATTTAACATGGAACCCATACTCAGATTTCCATCTCTGTCTCAACACCATCTTTTACAGTTGGTTTGGGCTTATATCTTTGAACTAAAAAGGAAGATATTTGCTGAGCAAATTAAGAGTGAGCAGAATTTTAAGTTTAACCTTTAATGATTAGGACTGTGTGAAAAGCTTTCAGGATTTTCACAGAACTGGTTGACCTGATATAATAGGCTTGTTAATACAGGAGTCCCAGTCCCTTTGGTCACTAAGCAAGCAAGAGCTGAGGGCCTGCTGGACACAATAGCCAGATGCAGGGGTGAGGCAGGGTGAGGCGGCCCTGCCCACAGAGGCTCACATCCCCAGGCAGGGAAGGGAGGGCTAGAGACCCCAACAGAAATGATTCCCTGTGAGCTGTGTGGAGTGAACAGGGGGCTGCGGGAGCTCAGTGTAAGGAAGAAATGCTAATATTAGGTCCCTTTATTGTAAAAAGACATTTTAGGCAGCTGATAGTCAATGATCGAGAGAACTTTGATTTGGCTTAGTGTTACTTTAAACAATAATTATATACATAATAATCAACAATTAGATTGGTGCCCTTGTAAAAGAGACCCCAGACATCTCCCTTGCTCCTTCTACCAGAGGAGGACACAGTGAAAGATATGGTCTATGAAATAGGAAGCAGGTGCTCACCAGACACGAAATCTGCTGGCACCTTGATCTTGGACTTCCAGCCTCCAAAAGTGTGAGAAAGAAATGTCTGTTGTCTATAAGCCACCCAAACTCTGGTATTCAGTTACGGCAGCCCAAATGCAGGAAGACGCGATACTAACTTTATATGTATTTCTTCTCTTTTCACTTACTCCTTCCTTCCTTCCTTCCTTCCTTCCTTCCTCCCTCCCTCCCTCCCTCCCTCCCTCCCTCCCTCTGTCCCCCTCCCTCCTTCCTTCTATTCCTTATTAATCTCATAATTCTTCCATTTAGTAGATTCCTTTTCTTGTCTTGCTCTCTCTTCTGTGTCAAGCTTTCCTGAAGTGGATTTCCTTTCTCCCATTGTACAGATGACAAGCTGAGACTCAGAGTGGTTAAATAACTCACCTAAGACTTAAGCATCCTCTGCACTGGGAGCTGGAGTTCCAATGAGGCCTGGTGTGGAGGCTCCATTACCTTCTTTATAAACCTGACTCCACCACCTTCACGTCAGAGAGAGTATGTTCCTGAGGCAAGGATCCCGGGGGGCTGAGGATGACAATGCGCCAGTGAACTTAACTCAAGTGGGTCTAGTGGGCAGGCAGCACCAGACTCAGATCCTGATGGTAAAAGCCTAGAAAAACTACCCCAAATTCTTTTGGGGAAAGTAGGGTATATATTTTTTTTGACTTTGTGCTGTTGTGCAAACTTCTTTCTCACTAGACTGCAAAAGCCCTGCCTTTGGAGGTTGAACATGGTCAGTTGCTGCTCCCAGACCCTGTCAGCTGTTTGGGAGATGTGAGCTCTACCTCGGGGGAGAGCAAGAGAATGCCCAAGGTTGGAAAAGGTTCAGGAAGCATAACTTGAAGAACATGCCCTTCCACTACGACCCTCACTCCACTATGACATTTCCAGGCCTCTGCTCCAAGACCCCTGTTACAGTGGGCTGTACTTGGGGATGGGTTGGAGGGGGTTGCTTCTAAGGCTCATGACTGCTTGGAAACAAGACATCTCACATAGTTCCAGATGGCCACCAAGGGTCAAACACATTGTCCCCAAGTGCCTGTGACCCACCTCAGGCTGGCAGAGACTGGGTGGGTCATGGCACGGGTGCCTTTCTAGGTCCCTGGAGATGAATGCAGAGGCAAGTCTTTTAAGAGACAGACTATAGCCTGGACTTTTCAGCAACGTGGGCCACAAATCCTCTCTTTTTATTTAAGTTTATTTCCATCGCTTGCAGTTAAAGAAGTCTTGACTGGTGTACAGAGACTAGCTACATCCCCAAGCTGCCAAGTGACCTACTTACTTAAGCTTTTCCAGGCATATCTGACACCCTCCTAGCCTGCTGCAGCTTCCCCTCATTCCTCCATCACTTAAACTAGTACTGAGGGAAGGGTTGGCAGTTGTCAACTCTACTCTGAAATCACCCAAGGAAGTGACTGTTTGATGGGCCAGTCCCCTCCCCCATCCTACCCTGCCCCCCTCACTCCCAGTCCTCCCCAGAACCTGGGTTGAAACTGTCAGGTTCTAACTGTATCACAGAGAGGATTGTCTGTGCTCTGTGCCTGCAACGAGATAAGTTGTCTTTTCAAGCCTGTGCACCTGGTTGGGTCTGCTATTGGGCTTCATGTTGTTGTTTGCTTGCCAGATTTTTCCTTGTTGTTGTTCTTTTTTTTTTTTTTTTTTTTTTAAAGTAATTTGGTGCTTCTCAAGGCTGATTTGCAGACCACACTGTGCCTCTGGGGCAGAATGTGCTCATTTTGCCAGCTCTGTGCTTTGGGGAATCCTTTAGCCTGAATAACTGGTGGCCGGCTGTGGCCAAGCCTGGGCAGAGCTGACCCTGGTGAGGGAGGGAGGCCAGCCAGGCCTTGCCCTGTCACACACAAATAGCTCTTCTAAAGCCCCTCCACAAAGGGTGACAGAAAACAAAGACCAGGGGGCAAAGTTAATTTATTTGACTTTTTTTTTAACAAGAAAAAAATTTTTTTAAGTTACAAAAAAAGACATTCATTTACATTTTAGAACTTTCACACTCTGAGAATGAGCCATGGTGCCAGGTTTGGGTAAGTGAAAGGCTTAAAAGATCCCAGCCTGGCTGGGTGGTAATGATTATCTAGGTCATACTCTCCAGAAAGGATCTTACTCTATCTCATGAATCTCTGTTCTAGAACTTTCGATTCTTGACCCTTCTGATATCAAATTTCTTTGACCACCGAAGACCTCTTCAACATGTCACTTTCCCTCCCGCCTTGCCTTTGTCAGCCTTTCTTTATAACTGACTGCACATACCTTCACCCCGGTGTCTCAGCACGAACAAAACAGCCTCCGCCATTCAGGCAATTCACATCCCTCACCTCCTGCAAAATCACCTCCAAGTCCTCTCTCCCTTTAAGCACTTCTGGTCTCCCCTGCCCAACCCTATTTGCACCTCCAGGGAGCATTACCTGGCTCCCAGGACTCTCTGGGAGTCAGAGGTCCTGAACTCTAGTCTTGGCCCTGCTACTTGTCTGCCGTTATGGTCTTAGGTATGTTCTTAGTTCTTATTTTTAAATTGTCAGCTATGCTGCTGCTTCAGAGGGATGTGGCTTCACAGTAATAAATGCTGCCGTGCCCTGAAAAGCAAAAATGCTACGAAGTGGGAGCAGGGTTAGCCTGTGGGCCCCTGAGCACTGACACTCTCAGTTCAGCATTTCTGCCCGCTGAGGAGTGCGCTGGTTCAGCTGCTCAGTTGCCATGGTGCGAGGCCAGCCTTTGCATGCTGGTGTGTGGCATTTTTATCATCTGGAATGCAAGGTCCCTGAGGGTAAGGCTGGATTTTAACGTTTACTTGGTGAGCTTCTCTAGCCCATAGCACCAATCAGGACTGAGCACAAAGTAGGTGCTCGGTCTTAAAGTTAATAGCTTTGATTCAAATTTCCTTGGACAGATCCACCACCTAGAGTATGATGGCCTCATCATAGTGGCAGGATGGTGGAAAACCCAAGCCTCCTGTTCATCCCACCAAACGTGACCTCTGGTGGGAAGGGCATTCCTGGCGGCCCGGCACTCACCAGTGCCAGCCCAGGTCTTGGGACCATTCGCTAAAGCCCCAGAACTTCCCCCTGGAGTATAAATTTACCCCGAATGGGAGGGGAACGTGGTCTTGTTTGGGTGAGCCAGTGAGATGAGAACCACAATTTGGCATGCAAATCCCAAGTAGGGGTACTGCCATGTTACAAATCCAGTGTGGGATCATCCCTAGACCTCTCCAAGGCCCATACCAAGGACCCCTGCTCTGGGGATCACCACCTCCAGTGAGGGATCCTCATTCCCTGATAAGAAAGACCTGTCTCCAGCAATTGGAGAAGGCCAGCGCTCACAACTGCCCCAGTAAACAGTCGTCAGTGCCACTCCCCACCCCCCCACCCCCCCACCCCCGTGGGTGGCTGGCAAAACCCCACAACCCCCCCGCTGAAGGAGTCATATCCTTTGTTATTCTCATGAAAACCACACTAAGTGGTTGCAGAGATGAGAAAATGAACCCCCCTCCATTCGAAGAGCCCATCGCACAAATGTAATTCAAAAAATACATCCTGGATCCTTCCCCTTCCCGCTAACACGTTCTCCTACCTCCAGGTACACACATCTATATATTACACATGACAAAATTCATCTTCTTTTTGAAATAACCTGGTCCTTGGAGATCCGCTCAGGGCAATGCCATTGCAAACACTGTAATTTAACATCCGTCACAGTAGAAACATAGCCAGTTACCAAAGAACTAACTTGAGAGCCCTCAAGTCACTAGAAATGGGTTTGCCTCAGCCAGGCCCACCGATGGGATTGGAAATAGCATCCCTAGCTCTGGCTGGCCCCAAAGAGCCTGGAAAGGCTGATGTTTTGCTTTAAATCCATCCAGAATAAAATGCATAATAAATAATGTGTTGCTTGGGAGTTTGCAGCTATGTGGATTGTAGCTTTCATGGTGCTCCCAGAATTCTCAGAACCTCGCTTGATGGTCCAAAGGCTCAGCGGGTGCCTCCTGAAATCACCCCAGGTCACGCTGAAGCATGCAGTGATGGGGGAGGTGGCACAGGAAGGAAGCCTTTTGTGAGAACCCCAGATGCAGGTCACTGTTTGCCAGGTGGGTCCTCCTTCCCGGTGAGCATGGAATCCTGCATTCTTATCTTTGGTTTTGTGCCGTGGAGGCTTATGCCTTTGGAAGAGTGGCTCCGTGGTGTGAGAGAGAAACGGCTAGGGGCCAGGATAAAGGACACCCATACGGTCTCTCTCCTGGAGACACCTGGGAGCCCAGGTTCTCTCCTCGACTTGGGGAAGAGAAGCCTTCGAGGTCTCAGCACCCAGGGCTGAGGTCCAGCCGCCGAAGCATGTCCTGGAGGGCCGCCTGCAGTCTGCTCAGAGCCACCACCTCTGTGGAGTAGAGTGAGGCTTCCAGGACGCCGCCCAGGCTCTCAAAGGTCTCCAGGCCCCTGGCCCGGGGCAAGGGGCAGCTCTTGGAGGAGGCCAGCAGGTGGAGAAGGTCCCGGAGGTTCTCCAGGTCATTAGATATTTGGACCACATTTCTGGAATGCAGACTGGTGAGGATCTGTTGGTAGATGGCCAACGTCTGGTCCATCCTGGACAAACTCAGGACTGGTTGGAGCCCAGGAATGAAGTCCAGACCAGCGACCCTCTGTTTGGAGGAGACAGACTGCTGGGCCAGAGGAAAAGGGAGAGCAGGATCTCAGAGAAGTCGGTTCTGCAAGGTGTCGGCCTCTCCCATGAGCGTAGAGGTCCGCTCTCTTGCTTGCCTCCTCTCCTCCTTCCTCACCACCCTGGCCCAGGCCCTTGTTTCTTGTGCCCCAGGGGCTGCCAAGCTTCCAAGCTGTTTCCTGGACTTCTGTACTCCTACTCTTCCCAAATCACCCTGCCCTCCCCTTCCAGACCAATCCTTGCAGGTGGTTCTCTCCTGGAAATGGCCTCTGCTGTAGACCCAGCCATGAGGCCTGATTCTTACTTAGTGAAGTCTCTTCCCCAGGTACTGAGGTCCTCCTGAAGTGTCCCTTCCCCAGACATCATCACCCTCTTTTGCCCCCAGAGGATTCCTTGCTCCCAGTCAGGTTCTCCAAGGCCTCCTACCCCCTCAGGAGTCAAGGCTGAACCTCCACCCCCCCACCCCCCCCGCCAAAGAGCGTCCCATCTCACTCCTCTGCTCCAGTAACACTGGTTACCAGGAGTTCTCCCCTTCTCCACTGCCTGTGGCACTCACTCTCTGCACCACCCAAGCTGGGACACTCTGGACCTATCATGCGTGGCCCCATGAAAGCAAGGAGACTCATAGACTTCTCTCTTAAAATGCCCAAGGCTCTTATCTAGTTCTGAGCTGTCCCTTCTTCTGGCCACCTAACTTCTTCCTGGCTGCCCAAGGCCACTGTCAGACATCCATAATGGGAGGAGATGTGGAAATCTCTAGATTGCTTCGTGCTGGGTGAGCAAGCAGGCTTTTAAGACCAGGGGCTACTAAAAACCACAACTAAACTTTTAATGAGGGCATGCTGTGTTCTGGTTCTGTTAGGGTGGGTGAGGGGAGATCACTTTCTTTAACTAACTGAATCTCCTAACAATCTTGTGAAGTCCCTTATGATAGTCCCACTATCAGGCTATGGAAACTGAGGCTTCAAGACATTGAGGAATTAGCTTAAGATTTTACAGATAGAGAACAGAAGCGTGAAGATTCACATTTGGTCTTCCTAATTCCAAATACAGATGTCATCTGGGAAATGGCTGAAGGTCTAGGCCTGTGGACCCCAGGACTAACAGTAACAGGGAGAAGCTTCACAGGGCCAGAGTTCATCTAGGAAGAATGCCCAATGATGAGTACATTCTAGAGATGTGACAGAGGCCTAGAGGGGATGCAACTAGGAGTCTGGTCACCTGCCAGTGGGACACCAGTACCCTTATGGCTCTCTCTGGTCCTAGGTACTAGGACTTGCATCAGAGAGGAAGGAGAGGGAGAAGGTGGGAGATGGAGAGAGAGGAAGAGAAAAGGCTGCTGTTCGTACCACGGGGAGGTGTCAAGGCCACCATGGCCCCTATATGTGGCTGCACAGGCCTCAACTACCATCTGAGGTCCTGGTTTCCCCAAGGGCCAGTCTTGGTTCTACTTTGTCTTCCCAGACCCTCCCTACCGTGTGTGAAATGTCATTGATCCTGGCGACAATCGTCTTGATGAGGGTTTTGGTGTCATCCTGGACTTTTCGGATTGGCACAGCTTCAACACAGGACAGATAGGGCCAAAGCCACAGGAATCGGCACAGAGGTCCACAACGCATTTTCCTTCCCCGGCTGTGCTTCTTGGGCCTGAAAACAGAAGGAACCACGCATAGCAGGTTGCTGGTATCTCAGAAAATACCCATAAGTCCTGTTACCAACCTCATCATCAGATGTGGATAAAAATGAGACTTGCCTTCTGCCATAGCAATCATCTCCTCAGTGTCAAAGACAATTTGTTATCTAGAATTACATTAATGAAATGCATGTCTGTGGGGAAGTAAGACCTGACCAAATAAACAACAAAGTGATGTGGAATAGACCACAGAGCAGTAAGCCAGTGCATGAGTGAATGGACGTCGTGGTGTGACTTTATTGCAAGCTGTGAGGAAGAGATGGGCTTTTAAGGTCTGGTCTGAATCCAGCCATTTAATAGCTGCCTGACTTTAAACAAATCACAAAACCACTAAAAACTGTAGACTTTTATGAGGATCAAATGAGACAATGCATGTGCAAGAGCTTTAAAGGTGTTGTGAAATGTACTACATTACTATCCTTATTACTAGAGATTATGTTACTTGCCGTCTCCATTACTCTCCCATGACAGCCTACTGATACCTCTGTGATGGCGTTTATCACTGGTTTTATTACTTCCTTTCTCTCCTACTGGGAGCCTGAATGCAGCCAGCACTGGCGGAAGATCTGCTAATGTGTCAGATACAGCACCAGGCACCAAGGATATAATCGTGAACAACAGATGCTCTCTACTCTCAGGTTGCTTATGCTTTTTTTTTTTTTAAGATTTTATTTATTTATTCATGAGAGACACAGAGAGGCAGAGACATAGGCAGAGGGAGAAGTAGGATCCCCATGGGGAGCCTGATGCAGGACTTGATCCAATGACCCCGGAATCACAACCTGAGCCAAAGGCAGAAGCTCAACCACTGAACCACCCAGATGCCCCACTTATGCATTAATAAGAGAGATAAACAGGTAAGCAGACCATTCCAATACAGGAAGAATAAACTTCACAAGAAGAACAAGTGCAAGATGTCACAGGAGTACAAAGGGGGCTCCCTGAAAGAGGTGTCACCTGAGCTGGGTATTAAAAACCCAGTATGGGTTAGTAAGAATGGAGAGTGGTTGCCACAAGAGGCCAGAAAACAGTTGGTTTAAAGGCATGGAGGCAGAAGAGACTATATAACGTGTTCATCCAGAATGTTTGACACTTTCAAAGTCATGGAACAATGAATTCTAATATTAATAATATGCAGATCCTTGAATAAGCAGCAAAGTTTTAATGAGATACATAAGACAAAAGGTAATAAAGTTAAATGTATGCGAGTCTGTGATCCATGCTAAGGTTGTGTGCATGAGCCTGAAATGATAATCAAATGTAAGTAAATATTAGCATGAAGGTTCTGGAGAAGGCAAAAGAGTTAATCTCTGCTTTTTATGTTTTGTGTCATCTGGGTCTTAATAAAAACAGATAATACATTTTCTGTCCACAGGTGGCAATATTAGTATAATTCATATTCTGGCAATATAATAGAAATAAACTATTTATATATTATTTGTAAGGCTTGATCAAAGGTATGCTTTTGTTTTTAAAATGTTATTTATTTATTTAAAAGAAAGAGTGAGCACAGGCAAGGGGGAGGGGCAGAAGGAGAGGGAGAAGCAGGCTCCCTGAAGGGAGCCTGATGTGGGGCTCCATCCCAGGACCCCGGGATCATGACCTGAGCCAAAGGCAGATGCTCAACCACCGAACCATCCAGGTGCCCCAAAGGTATGCTTTTAATCTGAAATTTATAAAAAGGGGGAAAAGGAGGGTCAAGAAAATGTGTTAACTTGCTCAAACAAGCGAGTAGCAGAGTCAGGCTTCTGCTTAACCCAGAAAGGCTGGGGTGCTTTCTACCCACCCTACAGTTTCTCCAGCCTCTAAGGAGAGCCCCAAATTACAAACCACCCCAATGCTCAACAAGATACCTCCTGGGACCATGGCCTTTGGAAACAAATACCTTACTCTAGGCTGATGCTATGGGATTGCACCCCCACATCGACTTCAAATATGAAAATATCCTATGTAATTCAGGAGAAGGCACATCAGATGTTTCTATGCTTGTTTTCTCTCTTAAAAAGTGGAAGCTCCCTCTATTAACTACTGATTATGTGAGTAAACATTTCCACCAAAGGTTTTTGGAATGGAGTTAAATAGAACTAATCCCCAGTATGATTCCATGAAGCCCTAGCAAAGGTGGAAAGTATAGTGGTTAGGTCCCAGGGTTTCAGTGAATCCCTAGGCAAATTCTTAACTTCCCTACAGAATCCGTTCCTATTAGTGAAATGAAATTAATAACACCACCTGGCTCTAAAGGGTAAATGAGATGAACCTGTCAACCCTCTGCCTGTTGTGCATTTTTGTGCCGAAGGGCAGGGGATGGGGGAGGTCAGCAGTTTGGGAATTGTGTGGTTACTGGGCAGGGCTTGAAACACTGGGGTAACATTGCCTGTAGCCAACCCCAAATCTAGCATTTGGCCCGTTGCCTCCCTTGGGCATTCTCAACAGGGTGCCTGGTATTTCTGGGTGTTCCCCCTGCAGCACAAGATTGAATGGTACCCTTTTCTAGGATTCTTGGGTAATGACACCCTCCTTCCCGAGAGAATTTATTACCAGATTAACTCTGCTCATAGTTGCTCTCATATAATGGCCACCATGTAACATCTGAGCGGGAAAACAGTTTTACAAGCCCCTCTATCACCGCTGATAATATGCTTCAGTGGATGCAGAAAATACATTGTAGTTCCTTGAAATGTGGAACTGAGAAGCTGCTGGTAAATCTGCCTAAGAGGAGGAGGCCAGATTTAGGGGAGTTCCGTAGAGAATCCATACCAAGTCCATCTGAGATCCAAGTGGAGGAGAGAACGTGGCCCACCAACACACACAATACATGTGCTTGCATATACACACACATCACATACACAAACACATCAACACATCAAACCCTTTTAGCAGAAGCAGTTAGTTGTCTATTCTTTCCTTCTTCCCAAGTAATAGAATATCCAAGTTTAGATGGTGATGTGCCATCGAGAATAAATACTACACTTCTCAGCTTCCCCCAACGAGGTTTGGCTATGCCACTAAAGTCTGGCCATTAAGTATCAGCATGGGTGCTGTGTGGCAGCTCTTGGGTTGTGTACCTCTGCCTCTTCCTTTTTCATCCCTTCCCCCATCCCATGCCTGAGCTGCAGATGTGGTAGCCGGGGTTCTGGTGCCATCTTGGATCACCTTACGAATGGTGGGCTAGAGAGCTGGAGAACAGGTCCCTGAGGACTTTGTGGAGCTGAGTGACATACTGGCCGCAGACTGCCCCCACGCCCCACCTGGACTTGTGCTATGTGTGTGAGAGAGACATAACCTCTGTCTTGGTTAAGCCACTGTTATTTTGGGTCTCTGCTAAATGCAACCAAACTTAATGCTAGTTGATTTATATGCCTGGACATGGGCATCAGGACAAAGTGGATGTTGAGTGTTCCTGGGTTCACCTGAGTACCTGGGTGGGGCCTGGCTGTGGCCCAAGAAGATGGCTGGCAAGAGCAGAGTTTAGGGACCAGAGAGGGGAGGGATAATTCAAGACAGCAACTACAACTTCACTAAGCACAGTGCCTGACACATAATAGTTACTCAATGGATAGCAGCTGGTTGACAGCTAATGTGTACTGATCGCTCACTGTGGGCCACGTACAAAGATGAAATCACAGGAGGGTGGGAATCGGGACTAGGAAGGGACAAGGCTGAAGACTGCTGGTTTTCTCAGAAGCCCAGGGAATACACTGCAGTATTTAATGTTGTCAACTATTAACACATATTATTTGTTAGAGACAAAAGTAAAGAACAAAACTGTGCTCTTGAACAACCAGTTTGCATAATTAGCTGTAACTCAAGGAAGAATGTTTAAACAGCATGCCCAGGGTAACTCAGGGGAGGGAGACGTGTGTAAAATTATGAGCTCTAGAGTTCAGCAGAACTCTGCTTGAGTTGGAGTTCAGGACCTTGGGCAAGTTTGCCAAACTCTCTCACACTCAATTTTCTCAGCTATAAAATGGGAATGATACAAACTGTCATTCCCACTTGAGGCTGTCCTGTGGATGAAATGAGGTAATGTGTGCAAAGTGCTAACTCCTTGCCTGGCATATGGCCAACCCCAATACACCTTAGCTGTTATCACCACTATTTCCAGCTAAGGAATCAAGGAGGTGTCTTGGAGGAGGTGGCATTTCATAAGGGCCATAAGAGTCAGGAGGAATTGGGTTTGTGAAGGTGGAGGAGAGGAGCAGCCCAGCCGAGGTCTCAGAGGCTGAAGAACCCCTGTGAGCTCAGAACACCGTGGCTCACAGCCTGCATGAGAGGTGTGATGGGCCAGGAGGTGGGGAGGGCTTAGGGCCCGAGTGCCGAGTAAGGAGGCTAGGCTTCTTTCATGGAAGTGAGGAGCTCTGACCGTTCCCAGGCTAATGCTTTCAGCCCAGGTGACAAAAAGGATGGAGATGGAGATTGGCAAAGGCACGGGGAGGGAGTTGCAACACCACTGATTTGCTCGGTTTTGCTTGATTTGCTGGTTACGGCTGGTGGAACCTCAGGCAGACCTATCCAGCTGACAGCTGGGATTGGGAGTCACATTCAGAAAAACAGGGCCACACAAGTAGACCGAGCAGTGCCCAGGTGGAAAGAGCCAAGGTGGGAGGAACAGGGAGGACAAAGGTGATTGTCAGCCAGCTGCCTGGGCTGCAAAACCTTTTCTCTCTAGAAGTTTCCAAAATGGTTTTGAACATTTAGGAGCTGTCATTGTCTGAGAGTTAAAAGGTGAACTGTTGACACGTTAATACAACATCCTGTCTCCTCTATTTCTCTCTGCCCATTATTCAAGTGGGGCCTGGGGAGGGAGATGGGTACCTCTGGGGGTATCAATGGGTGGCTTGCACACTGGCCAAGGCCTCCCCTTCACTCTGCTGGCGCCCTGCTCGTCCTCTGGACTTCCTGTTCACCAGCTTTCACTGCCACTTTCCCTCTCCCTAATTAAGACCCTGCCACTCAAAAAAAAAAAAAAAAAGACCCTGCCACTCCCCATCATCTTTAACAGCATCCCCTACTATTCCCCTATACTGGGTGCACTGGAGAAGAAAGGAGAAAAACCAGAAAATGGAGCATCCCAGGGCAGCACTAGAAAAGGAAATGTCACCATAGAAAACAGTTCCAACAGTTCCAAGGCCAGGAGGAGAGGTGCACATAACCACACCTTCCATGCCACCACAGTTTCCACTGCCCAGGTTCACCTGGGGCCTGGGTGCCGGCCCTACCTCTATTCATCTTTAGCTGACCCCCCCAACCCTGCCCCACTTCTATGAAGGCCCCCTCACCTCTGCCTTCGCCACAGACAAGCTCACCCCTTCCTTCCCCCAAGAAGCTGCTGGCCTCCAGATATGACCTCCTTCACCTTCACTCTGGTCCTAGGAAATGAGGCAGACCAGCCTCTATGCCAAGATAGGGAGTGTGCTTCTCTAGATCCAGGCTGGATGGTTTGCTGGGCCAAGGTCAGGCCTGCCTATAGCCTTCTGATGAAGGCAGTGGGGGTAAGGAGAGCTTAGGGTCACAGAGCCATTTGCTGGTGGGGACTGCTAACCTTGAGTTATCTAAAGTCCCAAGTCTTCTCCTGGTTGAAAGCGCCAGAAGTTAACAGGGACCCAGCGCATACTTCTCTCTGCCTTCTCTTCTCCAGCCATGGGGATTTCTACACCCCTCTCTTCAATAATCCTTGATGTGCTAGTGTGAATTAAATTCAGATAATGTGATATTTGCTATTAATTATGAGGGAAAAGCTTTGGATGGTCTAAGCCTCTCCTTGCAGAAATTCTTCCTGTGGGCTCCCTCTCATCCTTTCCTTCTACTCTGCTTTCCTGTCTCCGTAATTCTAAGTTGGAAGGGACTTGGGGACAAGGAATAAACAAAGGATGAATAGAGACAGAGAAGCCTGGATGCTGGTCATTCAAGCTACTCAGAATCCAGTGGAACAAACAGAAGCTTAAATAACTCACTTTAATACAATCTCATCAAGGAACAAGGGAAGGAACATAGAATCTGGGGAGCATAGAGGAAAGAAGTGACCCTAGAAAGGTGAGGACAGCTTTGCAAATGAGACAGTATTTGAACTGAGACCTTAAGGACAGGAGTCCTCCAGGCAGAAGAAGGCAGGCAGGGCATTCCAGACCAATGTGACAGTGTGGAGTTGGGAAAAACTATGGTGGGTTTAGGAGAATTCAATATGGCAGAATGATAGAGCATGTAAGGCTAGAGAGCTAGAATGTCCCAGGCTTGATTCCACCTCGTGGGGGAATCTGCCCTCTCAGAACACACACACACACAAACACACACACACACACACACACACACGCACGCGCGCTGGAGGGGCATGATGAGTGGTAGGCAAGAGACCCAGAATACTCTTCTCCTCCTTCTCCTATCTCTTTCTCCTCCAAACCCTGATCCGGTCAATTACCATCTCTTCCAGGAATTGAAAGTAGGGCTTCAGAGAGCCCAGTTTGTCTCTGTTGAGGGCTCAGAAGCTCCAGGTTAGCTGCGATTGCCCTCATGTGCATGGAATAGCTGAGAAAGACCAGAGTTCATCCTGTAACAGGTGGGTTACAGTCAGTGCCTATGCTCCTTCCTGAACCTTCTTTCTGGTTCCTCACCTTGTTGGTTCTGGACCCTCCCTGTCCTTAGCCTCCACTGTGAGATACTCTTCCACATAGACTCGAGTATGTTTCAGCTCTCTGATTATATTTTTTTAATTCAGGGGATATATAGATAAACACAAGTAAGAGGAACAAATGTCAAGAAATCAAATTCACTTACTGCTTACTGTAAGTGATATATTCCTAAGAGTTCTGTTTTTTAAATGTGGGTTGCAATATGTTGTTTGACACTCTGAGCTAGCATGAGTGATTTTCTCTTATTTGCAACTGAAAGCCTTGTTTCAGAAATGTTAACCTACTTAACCAGCAGCCAGAGTGTGGGTGTGGGGGTTATAGTCTTCATACTCCTCATAAACCACCCTCAGATCTGATCCTCATCAGGGATAACACATGGGTTTCCAGTGTCAACTCTGATCAATTTTTAGCAGCTACCTGAAGCACTGTGTGGAGGCGGCCCTCAAGTTCCTCAGAGGCGAGAGGGTACCTCCATCAACTAGTGATGTCTTCCAGGTGCAGGAGTCGGGGACATGCTACTTGTTCCAGCATTTCCCGAGGGCCTGGCACACAGCAGGTACTCATTAAATAATTGTTGAAATAAATCAAATATTTCCCATCTCTGATCTTCATTGTCTCACCAGGTTAACCTACCTCTACTGTGGTTCACCTGCGCCTGTCTCAAAGTCACATCGTAGAATTCACTTTTGCTCAGCAGGAATCCCTAGGAAATTATTTTTTAAAAGATCTTATTTATTAATTAGAGAGAGAGAGAGAGAGAGAGAGTGCATAGAGGGAGAGGGGGAGAGAGAGAAGCAGATTCCCTGCTGAACAAGGAACTCAATGCAGGGCTCCATCCCAGGACCCCGAGACCATGACCTGAGCTGAAGGCAGATGCTTAACTCACTGAGCCACCCCAGGCACCCCCCTAGGAAACTTTCTTAATGATAGAAATCACTTTGGCTTCCACATCTCCCTTTAACGGGTCTCTTGGTTGGCTTCCTGCACCTTTTATGTGTCCTCCAGCACCATGTGGATCCCCATTCCTTTCAGCTTCCTTAGTTCCATTCATCAGCCTGGCTCCAGCTGCTCTGGGCCTCCTGCCCTCCTCAGAGGCCCCCCTCCCTCTTTTCTTCTCTGTAGCCCCCGCCTTTGCACTCCTCCTGAGCCCAATGCATCCCCAGACTACAAACACAATGTGCACACAGGTGGGGATGAAATCTTCAATGAAATCAGTGAGATGTCGGCATTGGCACCGAGCACGAATCCAGTTCTGGGGCGGGGCAGGGGGGATACTGACAAACTGAGCAGGAAAGCTTGTAAAATGCAGTTTGCACATCTGTTGTCACACATAGAATAAGCACAAAGAACTCCCTGAGCCCAGGCATCAGGTGTGCTGTTTTTAAGCAGAAACAACCTCTTTCTATTTCTCTAAGACAACTGTGTGGACAAAGTAGAATTTCAAGGCTCTGGGCTGGCAGGCCAGAATGGAGCTGCTGCCACGGAACCCTACTGCTGGGAAGGACACGGTCTACTGATTGACTGCAAGACAATTTGGCTCACTTTTCCTTTATTTTTTTTTTAATTTTTTTTTGTTTTTATTTATTTATGATAGGCACACAGTGAGAGAGAGAGAGGCAGAGACACAGGCAGAGGGAGAAGCAGGCTCCATACACTGGGAGCCTGACGTGGGATTCGATCCTGGGTCTCCAGGATCGCGCCCTCGGCCAAAGGCAGGCGCTAAACCGCTGCGCCACCCAGGGATCCCTCACTTTTCCTTTAAATCACACGCATGCTGTTCATGGATGCATACCTCCCAAGGACTCCACTTCCCTGAAGCCCTATCTCTCTCCCCGACCCCCTCATCCCCTTGGGTGACATCTAGGCTGGAGCGGGGACAATGACTGGGTCTGTGAGTAGAGCTCTCCCAAGTGGCCACCTCCACACCCTGCACAGGCCACTCAGACATGAAAGGCATCTGCCTGCGGCTGAAAGGCAGGAATTCATTGCAATCTCCCTGGCTCTGTCCTTGGCGCTTGGAGCCATTTCCTGGAACGGAGGGGGAGGAAAATATTTCCCCCAAATACCAAGAAGAGTTATTTTGGGCATAAGATGTACAAAATATGAGAAGGACGCTCCTTTGGCCAACATGGAAACGTTCCCCTCAGCCTAATGTCCTCGATTGCTAGAAAAGGGAAGAACCTGAAAACATTCACTGTTTTTCTCTTGCCTTCTCCCCCTACCTAAGTGAGAGAAATGATTGGCTTGACATCTCTGCTCAGGAGGACGTTAGAATGGCAGCGACTATGGTTCTGCAGACCAGCCTGGTGGGAAAGAGATTGGGTATCTCTCTCCCACTAGTCCCAGCTCACTGCTGCCCACCTCAGAACTCTACAGGGGAACTTAAGAGGGATGACAGTGGTTAGGTCCTACAAGGGGGAGGCAAGGAGCTATGCTCCTTGGTCGGTGCCTACAAGTACCTGCCCTCTGCCCCGCCCACCCCAAAGACCACCCTTCTAGCAGAAATCAATCCTTTCATCCTCTCCCAAACTGCTCTTCTCAAATGACAAGCAGGCCGCTTGTCTTGGATCCAGCTGTAAGTAAGGATTCACAATTCCAAAATGCCACCATCTTGAAGCTCTAGAAACTGGAATGGGAAGACAACCACACTCACAGTGAATGTAAACCAGGCCAGGAGAGGAGGGGACTCGACCTGGGGCCCACCTGCCAACAGCGGGTATTTGCGGTATTGACTAGAGAGGCGGTAACAGTTGGCAAACACGCAGTAGGCCCTTCCGTGACCTGCTGCTCTGTCACCTTAGAAAACCCCAATTTCATCCACCGTGAAGAAGACCGTTCGCTTGGCTTGAAGGCCAGATGTGGTGAGACTCGTCAGAATCTCTCTGAGACATCTGGGGTTCTTCCTGGGTTTTCTTTCCGCCTCTGCTCCGCAGAGCTTCCGTTCCTAGGCTTTGGCCTTATACAAATCCTTGCAATCAGACACGAGAGATGAAGACCCCCCCTGGAAAATGATGCCCGAAATCTTAGCCGCGGAGCAAAAGCGAGTCCTCAGAAACCCAGCGCTCACCCCGAACCCCCAGCGCCCTCAACTTTCCCGCCTCCGGGTGGGGGCAGGGTGCCCTGATCTTTGGGGATGTGCTCGAGGCAATTTCCACAGCATCTCAGCAGCTGGGCCGCGGGCTCTGACAGTCTCCTGGGACCCCGGCTGGCTCCATGGCACAGATTCCTGCTCCGTGGGCACCGGCTCAGCCCGGCCCCGAATCCAGATCCCCCCGCTGCCTTCCCTCCCGTCAGAACCCTGCTACGAAGCCGCCAAGGTCCGGAGCCAAGCCATCTGCCCCGCCCCTTCGCGCGCCTCAGTTTCCCCGGCGTTCGGCGTTCGGGGTGGGGTGCCTGGCCGGGAAAGACCGGCGGGGAGGGAAAGCGCAGCGCGCCCGGGGCCTTACCTCGCAGCTGCTGGCGCCGGGACTCCTCCGGGGCTCCATGCCTGCCCGCCCCTCTTATAGCCGCCCGAGCGCAACTTGCGCAACTGGCCGGCAGGCCCGGCGCACCCCGAGCGCCAGCCCCCGCCCCGCCTGGCGGGGAGCAGGGCAGCGGCGGCGGCGGCCGCGGGCCCGGGCCTCGAGGGAGGGCCTCCCTCCGCTGCCGGAGCCCGCGGGCCCCGGGGCGGCTGGCGGCTGGCGGGGCGGCTGGCGGGAGCGCCGCGTCCTCGAGGGCTGCCCCGACGGCTCGGCTCCCCGTGCGCCCCGCGCCCGCCGGGATGGGGTCGGCCCCCGCGCGCAGGCTCGCGCTCCGCCCGCTACACTGGGCCCTCGGAGGGCTCGGACGCCCCGCGAGTCCTCCTCTACCCCGGCTTTGCCGCGTACGCAGGACGCTGTTCGCAGCCGCATTTCCTCACCCGGCCTGAGCCTTCGTCGGGCTTGAGGGACGCGGAAAACTGAAGTCCGTGGAGGTTCAGGACTTTCCTCAGAACCACCAGCTGGGAAGGAGTAGCGAGGGGCCGGGAACCCCGGTGCCAACAACCGATCAGGCCCGTTCGCGTCCCCACAGGCGAAGAGCAGCCCTGAAACCGAACCGTTAAGCACCAGCCCATCTTTTGAGGGGCCAGTTGGCGAGTTCTTTTTATGTATTTATTTATTCATTCATGAGAGAGGCAGAGAGAGGGAGGCAGAGACACAGGCAGAGGGAGAAGCAGGCTCCACGCAGGGAGCCCGACGTGGGACTCTATCCCGGGTCTCCAGGACCACGCTCTGGGCCAAAGGCAGGTGCTAAACCGCTGGGCCACCGGGGCTGCCCCGGTTGGCAAGTTATGTGGGTGCGCCAAATCCGACCACCACCTGTCTTGGTATGGCCCTGAGCTAGGAATGGTTTTTGCATTTTTAAAGAGTTGAAAAATATAAAAATAAAAGAAGAATAGTTATGGACATGACCATTATATGAAGTTTACATTTTGGCATCCCTAAGTAAAGTTTTGAATTTTATCCAAAAAATTCCGGGGGGAACTTTTCCCTCTTGTACCTACATACCCTCTGATGTCGCCTCTTGGTCTGAAAAGCCTGAAATGTTTATCATCCCACCCTTAGAGAGAAAGTTTGCCAACCCTGGAACTAGAAAATACATTGCATGTTAGCTCTTCTGGGTCTTTATTCCTGCCAGTCGTGGGTGGGCATGCAGGACTGCTCAATCAGGCCTTCCCCAAGCACTGGGGTCTCTTCTTCCTCATTGAAGTAGCTTGTCCTGGTCACCTTTCCAGCCAAATCCCCTCATTCCAGCTGGCTTGGGTGACCTCTTCCCACCTCTGCCCACAGGCTGTAAGTGGAAGGCAGGTGTCAAGTCTCCCTTTTATAAGTCCTGGTAAGGGGGGGCCACCTGGGTGGCTCAGTGGTTGAGTGTCTGCCTTTGGCTCAGGTGGTGATCCCAGGGTTCTGGGATTGAGTCCTGCACAGGCCTCCCTTCAGGGAACCTGCTTCTCCCTCCACCTATATCTCTGCCTCTCTCTGTCTTCCTGATGAATTAAGAAAAAAAAAAAGATCCTGGTATGTTTGCAGTGCCAGGTGCATGTGCTCAGAAGAAGTTTCCCGAACAGAACCTCAGGGGCAACATGCATCAAAGAACTGATTATTTCTGACCTTAGTATTAGTGCCACCATAGTGTGGGGACTCCTCTGGACTCAAGGCCACCCGGAAGCAGATATTTAAAATGTGGGAAAACACACCTGCAGTGATGATGGTGTGGAGGGGACATGGAACGGTAGGCTGACATAGGTCCTGGCGGCACCATCAGATCACATTGGAGACTTTCTGATGGAAACATGTTCCCCAAAGGTTGTGTGCTCCATCAAGACTGCAGGGCTCTGTTTTGTTCACTGCTATATCCCCAGCTCATAGTCCAGGATCTAGCATGATGTATATCATTTTTAAGACATCTTTTTATTTTTTATTTTTTTTAAGATTTCTTTTATTTATTCATGAGTGACACAGAGAGAGAGAGAGAGGCACAGACATAGGCAGAGGGAGAAGCAAGCTCCATGCAGGGAGCCCGATGTGGGACTTGATCCAGGGACTCCAGGATCACGCCCTGGGCCGAAGGCAGATGCTCAACCGCTGAGTCACCCAGGCAGCCCTTTAAGACATCTTTTTAAATGAAAATTTCAAACATATGGAAAAATATGCATCACCTAGATTTAATGATTATTGTCTTCCCATATTTGCTTCATTTACTTTTTGGCTAAAATATTTTAAAGCCAATTGCAAACATCATGACATTTCATCCTTAAATACTTCAGTGTGTGTCTCTAAAAGATAAGGAAGTGGGTGCCTGAGTGGCTCAGTGGTTGAGCATCTGCCTTTGGCTCAGGTTGTGATCCCAGAATCTTGGGATCGAGTCCCGCATCAGGCTTCCTGCAGGGAGCCTGCTTCTTACTCTGCCTGTGTCTCTGCCTCTCTCCATTTCTCTCATGAATAAATAAGTAAAATTTTTAAAATAAATAAATAAAAAATAAGGAAGCATTTCCCCCATAACCACGAGACTA